CACATGCCCACAGGGGTTCGGGGTCAAACCTGCAGCCCAGGTACATGCCCTTGACTGGGAATCAAATCTCGCCTGACCCTTCAGTGCATGGACTGATGCTTTAACCACTGAGCAAAATTGGCCAGGGCTATTCTGACTTTTAATACTATGTTTTAGTATTGCTTGTTCTTGAACATCATATAAATGGTATCATATAGTTTATGGCCTTTACATCTGGTCTATTTTTTATTTTTAAGTTGCAGTTGACATATAATATTATATTAGTTTCAGGTGTACAGCCTTGTATTTAGACATTTATATAATTTACAACATTACTGTCCTGGTAAGTATAGTGCCCACCTGACACACCATACAGTTTTTACAATATTGTTGACTATGTTCCTTATGCTGTACTTTATATACCTGTGAATGTTTTTATAACCGACAATTTGCACATCTTAACCCCTTCCTCTTTTTCACCCATCCCTCTACCCCCCCTCCCCTCTGGCAACCATCAGAATGTTTTCTGGATTTATGAGTTTGTTTCTGTTTTATTTGTTCATTTATTTTGTTTTGTAGATTCCACATATAAGTGAAATCATGTGGTATTTGTCTTTGACTCGTTTCACTTAGCATAATAACAACCTAGGCAATCCATTTTGTTGTAGATGGCAAGATTTCATTCTTTATGTAATAACATGTGTAATAAAAAAGTATTCCATTATATATGTAGTACATCTTTATTCATTGTTTATTGATGGACAGTTAGGTTGCTTCCATATTATTTGTTATATAAATAATGCTGCAGTGAACATAGGGATGCATATGTCTGTTTGAATTAGTATTTTGGGTTTCTTTGGGTAAATACCCAGAAGTAGAACTGTTAGGTCCTCCTTCATCTCTTGTTATAGCCCTTTTTTTTTTTTTTTTTAAAGAATAGTTTATTGATTTTTAGAGAGAGAAGAAGGGAGTAGAGAGAAACATCAATGTGAGACTGTAACATTGATTAGCTGCCTCCTGTGTGCCCCCTACCAGGGTTCAAGCCCACAAACTAGCCATGTGCCCTGACCAGGAATTGAACCAGCAACTTTTTAGTGCATGGGACAACGCCCAACCAAGTGAACCACACTGGCCAGGGTTATAGCCTTTGTTTTTAAAGTCTGTTTTGTCTGATAGAAGTATTGTTACCTTTTCTCTTTTTTGTTTTCTTTGCATGGAATATCTTTTTCCATCCCTTTACTTTCAGTCTGTGTGTATCTTTCAGTCTTGTAGACAGCATATGTATGGGTCTTGTTCTCTGATCCATTCAGTTACCCTATGTCTTTTTTTTTTTTTTTTTTTTT